CATATGTCATAAGAAATATCTCTCAGGGGGGAACGAATTTTATATCATACCATACAATTCTTTCATAAGAGGCTAGCAGAAGAAATCGCAGAATTCAGCAATGTAACGCCTATATCAAATTATTTTTATGACCATCAAAATGGCCGTCTCCAATTATTCATTGCACAGAAGACATCCATTCTGCGCCAATGGGGAGAATAATTTCTAATATGAAAGATGCCTACCATAGTCCACCCCAAATGGCATTAGCTCTAGGCTTAAAATGCTATAAATGAACCCGCATTTCGGCTTATAAGCTGCGTAGGATTCTTTCCTTCAAAATTACACTTCCAGCGTCGTGAAGTATTGACCTGTATCATTGTATCTTACATTAATGCATGGAATGTTCGTGATCCCGGTCAACGTTATCCACAAGATGTAACCTCCATTAGTCGGTATTAATAAATGCATAGTATACTATAAAAAATGTTATCCTCCTTTGCATTCTGCAAGAATCTATTCGATTTTTGGTATGGAGGAGAATGCCCTCTTTAGGGGGAATTACCCTGTAGGGAAAATAATTTCTAATTTGTACATTATTTAGCGTAGAATTATCCGGCTCACTTGTGCATCCTGTCTATACAGAAACTGTTGTTGTGGCCTGTGGACCATCTGCATCTCGCCTTATACTGCTGTTTTATTTGTCTTTATCTGTCTTCAAAATTAAAACGTTTAACATAAATATAGGAATTTTCGGAAGGCCTCCTGAAAGTGCAATATTCTATTTCTACCTCATCCAAAAAATACGCCTCAAATATGAGTTACACAAAGGAAAATCCTGGCAGAAATTATAAGCACCATAAGAAAAAAGTACTATGATAATAATAAAAACTATGTGGGAAATTCTTTCTATACACATATGTAATGAGGTGTATGCATATCATTATGAAAATGTATGTTTTTGCATATTATTATGAAAAGGTATGTTTCTGCTGCTTTCATAAGTCTCCCCTTACATGATAATTGTGGCCGGGCCGACACCACACAGGTCACAATATCTGTCTAGGTGTGTCACTATGGAAAATATACAAAAGAGAAGTCCTCCGCCATACCAATATAATAAATCAAATAACGCAAAACTTAGTAAATATGTAGCTATACATTAAAATTTTGGGAAATCTTTTTGAGGATATTCCTTCTTGTCTGTGCAAGTCTCCTTTTCCAGTTCATATATGCTGAGGAGAGGTTTCTATACAGGATTTTCATCATATGAGCCCCAATCATAGATCCATTTATGTACTACATATCATAGAAGGAGAACGTGTATATAAATGAGCATATTTAATGCAGGAATTATAAATAGACGAACAATTTCGCGAATGATGACGCATACGAAATTGGATTCAACCATTCACATAATATTATCTCACTGCTGCAATATTTTAACACCTAATAATACATTCACGCAGCCGTACTATAATCATAACTAATGCTAAATCGCTTAAACTATTCTTAAGTCTCATCTGCTACGATGAACTCACTAATGTGATGTTATGGATTATAGAACACTATATGGGTGTATAAATAGTTATAATAAAGAACACATCAAGGAGAATATTGAACTCGGTACATTTCATATACTTTGTGGTGAATTATATCTTATAATAATGACGGAAAAGTTGCGTAAATACATAAATTCTTTGCGAAAATCTTCGACCTCGCGTACACGAGGAAAATAATGCGCCAACGATCGACAATATACACTTGATTCCTAATACGCTATTATTCCAAAATTTACGCGCATTATATTTAACAAAATATATAATTTCAACGGAAGAAAAAAAAACTTACATTTATTTAAAAACACAATTTTTAATTTACTACCCACTGCATCAAAAAAAAAGAGGCCCTACGCGCAGAATAAAATGTAAAAGCGACGAATAATTTTTAATGAAAAGCGCTGTAGGAAAATATTTTTGTGATATTGCTTTTATTTATATGAAAACATTACTATGAAATGGTTTTCAACTACTATTTTTCCGAGTGAGACATGATTCTTATTCTTGTGAAACAATTACAACCACATTAAGTTTATTTCTTCCATTCATATTATTCACACATAGCAGAGCACCTTCACAGTATACCCCGCTATTTCCTGTAATTACACACGCGAATGAATGAAATATCTAATTAATTTAAAGTTTTATAATAATAATTACTAATTATTCAGCTCAAAAATGTGCGCCGTGTAATTCACTTTGTCTTTTGCTGAAATAAACATATTTACGAGAAAGAAGAAAAATAATCCACTTGGAACTAAATGGAATAAAGTAACAGTCTATTCTCCTCATTCGTAAGAATTATTTACATAGCCCTTTATAAAACCATCGCACAGAAGTTAAGTGCACAAAATCTGTGCACTCAACGGACGGTTGCATTAAAGAATTCCACATTGCGTCCTCCTGTATTTATAAACTTCTTCTGGTATGGGAAAATAACCCTAGCAGAGATATATTGCATTTATAAGTCATTTTATGAGTAACAAAAATTTTAAGGAAAATCCCTACTAATGGGAAGGAAGGATTAATTTATAATGTACGAAAAATACCATAGTTTTCCTACCATAACGCATAGCATGTCATACCCTTTATTGTGTAATGTATTAGTTGCAGTAATTAAACGGAAGCCACGTTATAAGGAATAGCCATCATTGTCTATTAGTAATAACTGAATCTATATTCCTCTCAAGAGAAAAAAATAGATAAGGAACTAAATAAAGAAGAAAAGCAGAAAATAAAAAACAAATCGGAAAAAGGGAAATACAAAGAAAGAAAAAGGAAAAAATAAATAAAATGATTAACAATAAAAAAAGGAAGAAACTAGCAGGAAGGACAAGAGGAAAAATTATCAGAAAATAGAAAAAATAAGAAGAAAGCAGAAAAGAAAGAAAAGAAAAAAACCCTAATAATTCCTCCGATGCTGCTCTTGTGGGAACCGCCCACAACACACAGGTGAAGCTATTCTCTATTTCACAGGAATCACGCAACTATTTAGTCCGCTTATATTCAGGAATACCATTACCAAGTTAGTCATAAGAGGTGTTATTAACAACTTCTTCCCTGTAGTATATCTTGTATGTCGATTCTGCAGCGTAACTAAAGTTGATCCATATAAAAAATACATTCACTCAGGAAGTTAAAAGTGCCACTTAAAGTCTATTCATATATCTCTGCAAATGTATGCAAATCCCACATGGATATGAATGACATGGTTCGTACAGTTATCGCAATATTCCTCAAAGGGCTCACTCCTTTCACTTATTCTACACACAAATACGTCATTCTGGACAGGAAGATAAAGACTCCCCAGGGCACATCTTATACAAAATCTGCAGAACGAATTAGTGAATGGAGTCCTGATAAACATCTCGGAAAACTGGTGGATGCTGTATCAGCCAAGAATCCTTTCAATTCCTACGTAGTTTCCTCTACATATTACCATGGATTGGATACATGAAATGATAATGATTCCATGTTTTGCCGCATCCTCCAAAATATAGATTATAAGCAGACGGAATCAATGGAAAGGTGCTAACTGTTCATTCCACGGTCTATGGAATTATAGAAATTCTGAATCGAACGTTGATTCAGACAGGAATCATTATGAGGAATCGACTGATACCTGAAATCTCAGCATCGCCCGATGGACCAAAGGCTACCTTAATGAGGTCCCAGTGGGGATATTACAATTTCAGGGGAACTTATATAAACGACTTACCTAATCACTCTGCATCCTCAATAAAAGTTCAGACTGAAATTTATGATAAGGAATAATGATAAAATTTGCAAAAGTCATTTCAATCACAGATGACCTTTCGGTATATACAGTGCAACACACCTGAAGAGAAATTGTTACCCTGCATGAACAAATCTTAGTTTACTTCATCGGTCACACAATGTGGATATCTTGACTTTCCTAGATATATTACAGGGAATATACCCAGGCTACACTGCTGCGGGGAGTCCTCTTATTTTACTCCTCCATATACTTATGGCTATTCATACAATTCCTACAATTCTCCGCATACAACTTGCCTTGTTTCATGTTCACTGAAATTTCTGCAAACTGTTACACTTCCCCCTGGTATATACATACTTTCAACCTACTATAATTTAAGAAAACAAAGAAGGACAGGTCAGGGTCAAATACATTTTCTTAATGAATACTTAAGATACATGTATGGCTCATTCGGTCGATTGTCTTAAATACGATTCCCAGACAGTCCATATATTCGCAACATAATTATGGAGTCGCCTTCCCCTTCATTTATATCTTCTTATCGTACATCATTACTAAATAATGAGAAATTATTATTTCGTCTTATAAATACCTCTTTCCCATTAGTAAGCTTCTTATGCGATCTATTACTCTTTAGTAATATTTACATGTAAGAGTCATCGCAGAAAGTCATTCAGTCCATCCTAATTTATCTTACTTCTTTATATTTCCCTCATTTTGGGTTCAAAGGAGGCTTAACAGGACTTGTAAAAACATCTCATTTCAGCACAGTTATGTGAGCATGTTGATGCCCTTCCAAATTACACATCTTCCGTCCTGCACTTTGCAAAGAAGGACATGATATTCGAATTCATTCTAATTACAATACATCAAGGGAGCTATAATTCATTGTATAACTCCATATAATTAAACTAATTATGTGTCATTATCCTTCTGCAACCATCGTCCCTGTATTCTGGACAGAACACTTCTATATTATAATCCAACAACTTTAATCGCATGTCTTTTTGATTCTCCTCTATGTTCTTTTTCTGAATTCACATAAGGCATATTTGAATATACTGTCTATAGCTTCAGATGAAATAGAATATCCAAATCATGTGGAATCCTTTCAATTTCCTAGGATATATTTGTCTCAAAAGGAAGTTTTACAGATTGCCTATGTTCTCATTCTTAGGATATAATTGTTGGATTAACCATCAAATATATGCAGAACACATTATTCGTGTTAAATAACTGATGATACAAAGAAAGTAATAGGACCCTATTATAAGTGTAACACTGATAACACTAATGTATACAAAAATCTAGGGCGGCATTCTTAGATATTATACTTACGAATTCTGAACATTGACGTCCATAAGTTTCCTCATTTATAGGTATACGGAGTCCTCCCTAAATTAGATGCATACTTATACAGCATGTACGTGAAATATCATGGTAACACATTATGAATAACTCAACTGACACAGTACACTTGTTACAGTGAAATATAGGTTTGAATTCTTATGTGAATTCCTCACTTCCTGGATAATGTTTCCTAGTGTGGTATGGCTAATTGGAATATCCATTTTAACATGAACCTCAGGATCAACTCCGTAGGGTAGGCATATCAGGCCTCCCACTCCTGTGCTCAGATAATGAAGCTCATACTCCTGTAAGACACATTTCAATGGGGGAATCAGTTTCCTCTTTAGGTCTGATAAAATTTTATTATAACATTATTGATGTAGACAAGTTTCGAGACATTCATTATAAGTAAATGTAGATAAGTCTATTCATAATTACGTTACGACACTGAAATAAAATATACCCATAGTTGTGTGACTTGATGCTTCTTTAGGTTATGAGAGCCTATTATAAGTTAATCATCCATTTGATACTTATCTATACAGAAGCCTTTTCCGTAAATGACGCCCTTAGGGGGGTATAATTGCTCAATTAGAGAGTACTTATAGGGATTCATTGAATATTTCCTCTGCCCTCCATCCTTAACCATTATAGGAGATTGTTCATTTTAGTGTTAGTAAGATAACACAAATAATCCGTGCGCTCCCTTGATCCACGGGTATAGCTCTCACTGAATAAGCGAAAGGATTACTTATTCCCTGACACATAATATCCCAGGCTCATAAGTCTTGTCTCCTTATATCATAAAAATGCCCCGTCACTTCTGTGGAA